AATAGGACAACATCGATAGAACTAAAATAACCCTGCCCTTCTTCCCCATGAAGTAAAGTTTTTGCAGAGCTGAACACTGTTTTACTAGTCAGTTAAGTGATTATCGTTAGTTAGAGCGCTTTATTGTTGTACTGTACCGTGGAAGGGTGCTGATCGTTGAAGGAATGTAATTGACTAACATGTTCTGTTGTTTGAACTCGCTTCAGCTCCAGGTCCTTTGTAGGTGAGTCCAGTATCCACGCATAGATAACAGTTTCATCTGCCCATTGTGGATTGAACAGTCGATCTCGACGAAGCTTTGTTGAGGTCAGTTTTGATGTGTACCTGAGCAACGAATGTAGGGTAATGGATTCACAATACTTTTTCCGGGTATACAGCGGCTTACTTCCAAATCGCAGCTGCGGCGAATTAGGCTGGCGAGCGGGGTGATGTACGCAGCGCGCCGGGACCCAATCCAGTCAACGTAGCAATGCCCGCCGCCTCGATCCTATCAAATTTCTACGTCTGCGTCTCTCAGGACGACTGACCCTCTCTGTGTCTGCCTTCTAGCCAACTAGCTAGGGAATACCCTACCAGTGCGCGCTGTTCCGCCACTCGAAAGTAACTCTACACTCCTCTGCTTTCACAACCGTTTTAGCCCGCCCTGAGAACACACTGCAAGCCTCTGACACAGGCCCTAACTTGCGAAAATTTTCCCACCCAGGGCAAACGAGAAGCTTGAACGTCACACATGGACACTTACAAAGGAAATAGGGCGCGGAAACCGGAAAAAACGGAGACCCTCCCAATCGCCTTTGTGCAAAAGCGAGGAGCGAGGCGCAAGAACTAGTAATTTCACATTTGCAGTATGCCAAGATCTAGGGCCGATAAGTGAACGAAAGCTCAGGTTGTTCAGCTTACTCCTAGTGAGCACAGGTGAATATGTCCTACATTGATGGCTGTCGTCTCGCTTGACTGGATGCTCTTTCACCATTCTTGTCTGTTCTCTCACCCAAAATCTCAATCATCGCCCATCGCACGGAGCAAGGAGTAAAGCGTCTTTGACGACTTCCTCTGTTATTCTTTCTCACGGTTAAGTCAAATGGTACATACACCTCTGTTTTTTCCCTATTATTCAAAATTTTTGACGGCCTATCGCAGAGTGTGCCTTTAGCACTTGTTGCGGATGATACCGGGGAGGAGGTATAGGACACATTTGCACCAGACCCAGTAAGAAACCAATTTTTCTCAAGGTTCCCACACCAAATAACTCGAACCCTTCTCTTCAGAGGGTCAAATGGCCAGACATGGCCACCTACCCAGAAAGACTCGGATCACCCCTCTTGTTCAGTGTTCCTCAACTACATCAAGCTCTTCACACTGGGATTGACTTCCATGGTAATGACGTCGGTGATCGATGCACGAGTTAGAAATCGCATATGGACTGGAAAATCAACACTTTCACTTACCAGACGTTCCCAGTGTCATTTTGGTAAATCCACGGCTTGGTACCGTAAACTGCTTCAGAGTTCGCACCGATGAACCTAAACGCTCCTTTTGATAAGCTTCAGGAAAACTGCTCTGTTTAAACAGAGTTTAGATTCAATAATCGGTAGTAAACTAGTTGTTAATGTTTGGCCACGGGCACTACGTAACGTGCAGGCTCTGCAAACAGTACTCCTCTTTCAGGCAAGTGACAAACGCCTGGTAATCAACTGGTTTTACTTGATTCGCATAGTAAAACACAGTAGATGGCTTGTAAAGACTTAGAGGCACAGTCTGCTATTTTATGCGTATTTGGTAACTTTACGACTGCTAAATGACTCGTTTAGACCTGTTGATGTGAGGACCTCGTTTTCAACTACTCTCTATACAGTCGTGATACAAATTAAGCATTCGGGGAGAAAGACTGCTGATCTCAGGCTGAGTTTCAGGGGTTAGAAACACCGCCTCAAACTAGGAACCCTCTAGTATTCACTTGTTCAACACATTCAACACAATGCTCGGCATTACAGGCGCAGGGAGGAACCCTTAGGTGATTTTAGGCTACCAATTCGGAAACTGAATAAAACAAATAGTTCTTCTTAATAAAATAATGGAGTGCACCTTCTACAAGTTGCAATAATTGTATGGGTAGATCACACCTCGTTATGGCCCTCTCCGCAAAACGCGTCTTCGGAAGCTGGTTTCTTGTCTGGCCTACAAATCAGCCGGGCTATTCTGGGGCCTATGTTATGAAGGTTTTCTCTAGATTTATTACGTGGCCGGGGTTCGAATTCCAGATGCGTTCTCGCCCAGGCCAACGAAACCTTCTACGATCCGGGCCCGGTGAAATGGTACCAGAGTCGTCCGGGAGTATAGCAACAGTGACTTGTACACAGGGTACAGCGTCGCGATATGTGAATTGGTGGTATCAGTACGACTCAGCCATCGAAGGAAGGTCTTGGTACAACCGCCTCCGCCCCCACTGCTCACTTCCCCAACACCTACCTTCCAGTTTTACACCTAGAAACTTTCCGTCGAGTGGGGAGGAGGGTTGTATGTAGCCAATGTAAAACGGGAAAACTTCTCAGTTCTCCCCAACTTCCTACCACTTTTCTTGGAATTTCCCGAAAAATTCTCCTACTTTTCCCCAAAAATTTTGCTGTCGATCGGACAGGTATATAGTAACACATAAAAGGAAAAACGTCTCAACAACCCGTGAATTTTTCCCAACACAGCAAATTTCTCTCAAAGCCACATATGACTCCCCCTCTCCCAGAAACGACCAAATACGAAAAGTACGACCCTTCTATGTATTTTGCACAACGATGCTGTACCCTGCTTGTGCATCAGCTGGACGCCGCAAGTCACTCCGATCACATCACATTCAAGAAGGCCACCCCGATTCTGGGTGGAAGTAAAATGCGTACGCATCCTAAGCAGGTGTTGAATCAACTGATTGATCAACTGAGTAGACTTAATCTCTCTAGTCAAATTGCGAAACACAGTAGAATATGCGGTTTTAGCTTGCAGCGCTTAAACCCCTAAAAGCATCTGTGCCTCTACATTGAAAAGGAATTCCTCAAAGAGTTCGGTGTTCACGCTAGCTCCATTTGAAATAAAACGTACTCAAAATTTAAGAAGCTCTGTGGTGTAGAGCTCCTAATATTTTCTTTTGCTTTTGAGGGCTCGATATAGAAGTAGGATCCGAAGGGAAGCAATGGCAAAAAACAAATTATTCATTCATGCGCACTGTCCTTGTACAGTGAACTCCAGGTGAACTGAGGCAGGTGGTCGTCATCAGTCGTCTGTACTGTAATGCTCCGAAAAGTGTCGTAGTTATAACGGATACGGTAGGCGTCATGGCCATTTCGATTGTTAGATACACCGCGTAGTGCATTAACCCTTTACACAGCGCGGCTGCATAGCTCGTTAGCATATTAACGACCTGACCGCACCTCCACCGCGCAATCTGTCACTCACCGAGAATTGCCTTCGAGAATAATAATATATAACAACCGGGGACTCACCATAGCAACTCGCATTTCCTGATCGTTCTGGGCCATGCACTTGACTTCCATTCAGATTCGTAAGGGCAGTTTGCATTGCACACAATACTGGCTCAGTTCATCAAATCAAAATTTGTCTCCCCAGGCGAACTGGCTTTTCAGTGAAAGAAGGCTTGAAGGACCTTGGTAGTACTTGTCACGGTAGTAATTATCGGCAGTATTGGTCAGCGAACTACCTTCAGTAACTTGCAGAGGCTTCAGAGCCTAAATGAAATCGGCGCTTTTCGGCTCACGGTAGGGGGGGGGGCATTTTCCACTTTCGTCAGTTTCTTTTGCTGGTCAATGTTGAATTATACGCCTCATTTTATTGTGACTTGAAGACTCTTGTAAAGTGAACAAAGCTCGCGCTGTTGCATAGCTTTACAGGAATCTGATGTCTCCACAGGAAGCATCCGCAGTGATCAATGGGGACCAGCAAAATGCCCCCATTAAGCTGAACTGCGCCATGAAATTTTCTATCATCTCGGAGATACTTGAGTACGCAACTGAATGGATCCGTATGTTCACGCGCCTCCCATTTAATCTATTGCCTAAACTTAACTGAGGTGATATATACTCTGACGTCTACATGCAGCGAGACTTCGCTACTTTTTCATCTTTACCTAGGGATCGAGCTAGATCGTATACAAAGTATGTGCCTCCGCGCTTTCTTTAAGGAACCTAGACGACATGGCGCTACTTCTTAACTGTTTAATCAACGCTCGAATGCTTCCATGTTCTCAAATCGCATACATGGCAC